TTTCTGCTCTTGAATGAGCTGTCGTGCACTGTGGATCCATGGCGCCGCCGAATCAAAACTGTCGGCGCTCTCCCCCCCCTTTCGCGTCTGCCCCTGCTTGTCAAGCGCGGCTGGGACATCTCGCTTGAGCGGCGCGCGGAGGGCCGCCCCCGCGAGATATCGGGCCCGCGCCTCGAGCAGCACCTGGCGCCACGCCACCTCGAGCGCGGCGCCCGCGGCCGCCGCGCGGCCGCGAGCGTCGACCGCGCCGACAATCTCTTTCGCCGCGCCGCCCCCCCCAGCGGGCCCCGGGCGGAGAAACGCGCGGCGCGCTCGCTTCGGCGCGCGGCCCATGTACCCGCTGCGCGCGGGCAAGGAGACGCACCCGCCGGCCCCGCGGCCGATCCGCCCCAATGCCTGAGCTGCTCTGACCGCCGCCGCCATGACAACATAGCAAGGCCGTCGCACAAGGAAGCCCCGTCGCCCCCGACCACACTGAATCGCCAATTCGCCCCTTTTCTGCGAGGGCCGCCGCTGACTTGAATAGCCGCGCCCGCCCGAATGAGCGGTCGCCTGGCGCCGGGCGCGGGGGGAATCGCGCCGGCGTCGGCCGCGGTCAGCCCTCGGGCACTGTTAAGTGAAAGTCTCTATGCGGCGTCAACGGGGCCCTTCCGGGCGTTGCCCCGACCGTCGCAGCCGCGGCCGCCGCCCGACCTGCCGCCCCCGCCCCCGCCCCATTCGAACCCGACGGTCGTCGCCGCGCGCGCCCGCCTCGCCTGGCCGCTTCGCCGCTTCGCCCCGAGCAGTGCGAGAGCCCACGCGGGGCGCGCGCGTCGCGGCAGGCCTCTTCGTCGCGCTCCATGGCGGAAGCGCCGGGTCACGGGGTGGAGCGGGCGGCGCAGCGTCGAGGGCGCCGGGCGCCCTGCCAGGGCAGGCCAGCTCGAGCCGCAAATGCCGCGCCGAAAGGACGGAGGAAGGGCCTCAACGCGGTGCCCTCCTGCGCGAGACATCGCCATTGAAGACGGGCCCCATGCGCGCGCTTCTGGCCAGTCTCGCGGTCCTGGAAGACATCGAACAAGACGCGCACTGGTTCGTGATCGCGGGAGGCACTTTCAGGGCCCGGCGAACCTGTCGGCGGCGGATGAAAACATCCTCTTCGGCGCGCGACGGAAGTGCCGCTTGGCCCCGCGGGCGTCGCGCCCTGGGGGCCAAGCCAAGGGCATCTGGGCCCCGAGGGCAAGTCCAGGGGGAAGAAATTCTACGTCGAAATGACTACCCTGAAGAATTTCAAGTTCAACATTGACGATGTCCTGGGACGCGCCGAAATCGGAGAGCCTCCAGACAGACCCCCCAGCCCTGACCATCGCAAGGCCACGCTGCTCCAGGTCGCAAACTCAACCGCGTCATTCCGAGACTGCAGGGCCCGCGGGCCCGCCGCGGACACGCCCGATCGTCGCTCTGAAAAACTGCGCGGTCATCGCGAGGGTGCGCTTCAAACACCGCTGTCAGATTTTACCCGTGAGAGCAGCGTCCCCAATCCAAACCTGCATCCATCGATGACGCCGAATCTTGAGCTCACATCCTATCGGCGCTATCCTCCACCGCCCCGCCACCCCCTCGGTGGTCCGGCCCCCCCCCCCGCCCCGCGCCCCGCCCGCCCCGCCCCGCCCTTCACCCGCCCTGTGCCGCCACGGCTTCTGCCTCGCCAGTCCTGCAACTGCGACATCAAGAAAACAAAATTGCGCCACGGTAGGAAGGATCCCTCCGACACCGGGAAACGCCGCATTCACTTTGTAGCACAGAAGCGCGCACTCTCGCGTGGATCTCTCGTCTGAAACCAGAACTGCCCTAAGCGACATTGTTAAGATACGCATTCGCCGCCCTTGTGCGCTTGCGATCGACTCAGCGCCGAAGGTTTGCGAGGGGACGATGCGGGACCCTGCCCCCCCCCACGCCCCTCCTCTGGCACTTTATCCCCGGGCTCCTCGCGATGCGCTGCAGCGGCGTTGCGTCGGGAATTTTTTCTGACCATGTGCAGGAAAGCCTCTTCCCCCCTTGCTGCGCCTCGGCCCCGCCGCTTCAAGCTCGTCGCATCAGGGCTCGCCGCTCTTTTCGGGCAGCCACGACTTGAACGGGGGCCCCAGGATCAGTTTCTTGACTGGTCGCCCACGAACTTTTGGTGGCCCACGCAGGCCCTCGGAGCTCCATGGAAAGATAGCCCTCGGAATAATGACCCGCAAGAGCGCCTCGACCCATGGAAGGCACAATCACCGCCAGGAACAATGAAGAGTGCGCCCTGGGACGATGGAGAAGCACGGCCAAACCTGCGGCGCGTCTGTTGGCAGGGAGAACGATCCAGGAGCTGCGCCAGGGTCGCGCAACCCTCGCCCAAATTGCCCCATTGCGGCGATGCGAAAACAGTGGATACATGCGTTTGGGATGCAAACCCGGCAAGCCCTGCCGCAGGCAACCTCCGGGAACCGCACATGTTGTTCAGGGTGGCGCGTTCTCCCCCCTCCTGACCCTCAAGAACCCGTGGTCGCAATCAGCGTCCTCGCAGTTTGACCTCACCCTATATGCCCTCGTGGAAGCCCTTTGCAGGGGGATCCATATCGTGAACAATTCGTTGACCTTGGGGCTCTTTGATGGCCGCAATCAGAATAACCAAACCTCTACTACAGATCCGGAGGGATGGGATGGAAGTCCAATGTCGAATCGCCTTGTGCGATTTCTGCAACAACGACTCCTTAGGAAAAAGACGCTCAGCCTTTGTGGCATCACTGCAAAATCCAACACAAAATCCTTCAGCTGGGGAAACATAGCGAGGTATATTCACTGTCTTCTACCATAACCCAAGCGGTAAGGACCATGCAACATAGTTCGCATTGTCGGCGCCCTGGTTAGTTACAGGCTGAGCACCGTTTCTGGAAACAATGCTGCCCAGCCTTCGGTAAGACTGAATCAACTTGAACAGAGATTTGACCAAGCGTAGGACAAGCGTACCCAAACTGAGACCATGCTCATCCCAATGGACATCCAACCTGCCGAAAAACAGCGTCCCTCTCGTGTCCCCCCTCCTTTCATGTATGAGTCGATTTCGGTCCCACTTCACCTGGTTGTCCGCTTGCCCACTGTAGCATCCCATGGGACACACTTGATGGGCAATAGCAACATGCTGGCCACGAGTGCTGACCAACACATGCGCGTGATCCCTAGGTCATCGCCATGGCATACAGGGCGATAATGCACATTCTGGTCACACACCCACTGCTGATGGCGTGTTCTTCCATGCACAATCGAAGGTCCCCAGTCTGCCCACATGACCACACGCCCCTTTTTGTCTGCTCGTGTGTGCAGCCCTTCACGCATATGGTGGCAGGATTATGGATATTCCTCCAGAATGTATGTCGTTTGGCGTCGTGGGTATCCCAAGCACGCGGCTCAAGGATATTGACAGCGAAAAGTACATAGTGCAGACAGCGATAATTCGATTGGCGTTTCGTGCAGGATGGAAGGGTGGTGCCTTCTCGAACAAACCCGCAAGATGTATCATGCTTCTTCCCCCACGGTGGCAAGCTTGGCATTTCCGTCGCGTGGATACTCCTGCAGCGGCACTCCAGGGACGAGGATTGGGAGTCGAAGTGGCGAGGGTGGGAGTTTTGTGCTACATCATGGTCTTGGATTCCCCCCCCCCAGAGCCAGGGAAAGCAAGGACGGCTCGTAACTACGTGGCTGCTGTGAGCAACTCACTGCATGGGCGACAGATAGACTGACACAAGTACCTGCGAGGGTTTGCATATCGCGCGGGTGCATGGCAGGAGGTGCGGACAAAACAGGCGGGTGTATGGCAGGAGGTCGAGACAACGGCAGTGGGAAAGATATGAGGGCGAGAGGTCCACCAGTGGGGGGCTGGAGAAAATTTCAGGGGTTTGCTCGATGCGTTGGCCCTCAACGATGCGGACATACTCGCCCAATTTCGTTGGATCTGCGGGAGGTCAATATATGATAGACCGCACTTCCGTTCTGCTCATGTTCTCTGATGCAGCTGTGTGCGCGTCGCCCATACACAGACTCGGACGAACGCCATGGAGGGGGAGGATGCGAGGACAGGGATTGGGGAGGGCTCACAATCAAACCAGTCTTCGTTTAGCGGGCTCTGCACGACAGGCAGCTAGATGTAAAGGAAATGCTCTGCCAATGCGACCCCACACGAAATCCGATAACATGCTTCGAGTATACAAAGCTGTGAAGCCCAGTCCCTCTCAGGCTTGATATCCAAGGGAATGGCGACCGCAGACGCGGATGGGATTGAGGAGTTTGCTTGGGGTTCGAAAGTCTCGTTCCAAACGCAAGCCCACCGCAGACAGCGAGCTTTCTTTTGTCAGGAGAGCAGTGGACTTCTTGTGGCATCCAAGCCTGGTGCTAGAGGTCTCCTAGATGGGGTCCGAGTAGATGGGGTCGGTGGATCGTGCCGCATCGCCAATGCGTCGGCGACGCCAGTGATACATCAGCGCCGTCGGCGTGGAGAAAATCGGGATGTACATCAAGCCGCATCGCCAACGCATCGGCGATGCGGCGTGGCCATCCGAAACTATCTGCTCGGAGCCCACCTGGGAAGGCTCGAAATGCTGCCCGCCGCCCCAAGCCCCGGGAGCCCAGCCATCTGAAACCATCCAACAACCAACCGAGACCCTACGCCCCCGCAGAACTCCACCCGGGCTTCCCAAGCCCCTGCTACGCCGCGGGTCCGGGCCCCCCACCCCGCCAAGCCCCAGCTACGCCGCCCCAACCAAATGGAAGAAGGAGACGGATAAGCAAAATAACGCAACAACACATGCTCCCCCCGAACAAACCAAAATGTGTGCGACTCGAACCGAAACCCATCCCTGGGATTCCCAAAATGGGGTGACGCCGAGCGTTTGGATGATCTCTGGACGACCCATTCGTCTAGGGGCTCGCTGCAGTTTAGGCGAAATCATTGCACCGCTAAGCGCCTTGCACTGAGGCAGCGAAACCTGCCTTTAAAAGTAGTTCAAACCACAGCGCAGGCATGCATCAGCAGCTCGCACATTGAACGCGCGAAGGCTCAACGCAGATGCTGGGAGACTCCTCGCGCCTCCCCCCTTGTCCCGATCTCCTCCACCTCATCTAGAAGAACATTATCCTGGCGAAGGACCAAACCATATACAGTTGTGGGTACCGCTGTTGTGAAGATCTTCGTCGGTGAAGCCCCCTATGGGGCCACGAAACGCTGCCCTGGGTGCGGGGGGAACGCATGCGGGCGGTCTCACTGGGGGCCGTCGGTGGAACTCCCTACGGTGCCACGATACGCTGTACTGGGTGGGACGCATGCGGGCGGTCCCACTTGGAGCTTCGGTGGAGCTCCCTATGGGGCCACGAAGCGCTGTACTGGGCGGGTGAAAATGTCAAACGGGCGTGTGGGACGCATGCGGGCGGTCTCACTGGGGGTTTCGGTGGAGCTCCCTATGGGGCCACGAAACTTTGCAACACGCGCGTGAAAATGCCAACTTGTGTGTGGGACGCATGCGGGCGGTCCCACTGGGGGCTTCGGTGGAGCTCCCTATGGGGCCACGAAGCGCTGTAATACGTTTGCGGAAATGCCAAATTGGGTGTATGGGACGCATGCGGACGGTCCAACTAGGCTTTCGGTGGGGCTCCCTATGGAGCCAAGAAGCGCTGTACTGGGTGTGTGGCAATGCCAAGTTAGGTGCGTGGGACGCATGCGGACGGTCCCACTGGGGGCTTCGGTGGAGCTCCCCATGGGGCCACGAAGCGCTGTACTGGGTGGGTGAAAATGCCACATTGGGCGTGTGGGGCGCATGCGGACTGTCTCCCTGGGGGCTTCGGTGGAGCTCCCTACGGGGCCACGAAGCGCTGTAGTGGGCGGGTGCACATGCCACGTTGTGTGTGTGTGTGTATGTGTGGGGGGGGGGGTGGGGGTGTGGGGGGGTGTGGGTGTGTGGGTGTGTGGGTTTGTGTGTGTGCGTGTGTGTGTGTGTGTGTGTGCGTGTGTGTGGTGTGCGTGGTGTGTGTGGTGTGAGTGGTGTGTGTGGTGTGTGTATGTGTGTGTGTGTGTGCGTGTGCGTGTGCGTGTGCGTGTGCGTGTGCGTGTGCGTGTGCGTGTGCGTGTGCGTGTGCGTGTGCGTGTGCGTGTGCGTGTGCGTGTGCGTGTGCGTGTGCGTGTGCGTGTGCGTGTGCGTGTGCGTTGTGCGTGTGCGTGTGCGTGTGCGTGTGCGTGTGCGTGTGCGTGTGCGTGTGCGCGTGTGTGCGCGTGTGCGTGCGCGTGCGCGTGTGCGTGTGCGTGTGCGTGTGCGTGTGCGTGTGCGTGTGCGTGTGCGTGTGCGTGTGCGTGTGCGTGTGCGTGTGCGTGTGCGTGTGCGTGTGCGTGTGCGTGTGGTGTGGTGTGGTTGTGGTGTGTGTGTGGTGTGGTGTGTGTGGTGTGGTGTGGTGTGGTGTGTGTGTGGTGTTGTGGTGTGTGTAGGTGTGTGTGTGTTGTGTGTGTGTGTGTGTGTGTGTGTGTGTGGTGTGTGTGGTTGTGTGTGTGGGTGTGTGTGTGGTGTGTGTGTGTGGGGGGGGGGGGGGACGGGGGGGGGTTGGGTGTGGGTGTGGGGGGGGGGTGGGGGAGTGGGGATAGATGTGGTGGGTGGCAATTGGTGCCTGGAATGGTAGGTGGTGGCACGAATGCCTTGAGATGGAGGTGGTGGGTGGCAATTGGTGCCTGGAATGGTAGGTGGTGGCACGAATGCCTTGAGATGGAGGTACGGGTCACCTCCCCCCCACGGCCGTCTTCGTTGGCCGAGGGACCGCCCACTGGGGGGGCGCATGCGGGCTGTCCCACTGGGGGCGCCGGTGGAGCTCCTTCTGGGGCCACGAAGCGCTGTACTGATGAGGTGGAAATGCAAACGATTTGGTTTCGGGGACGCACGCGGGCGGTCCCAGTGGGGGCGTCGGTGGAGCTCCCTACGGTGCCACGGAACGCTGTACTGGGTGGGTGAAGGTGCCAAGTTGGGTGTGTGGGACGCACGCGGGCGGTCCCACTTGGGGCGGTTCGGTGGAGCCCCCTTATGGGGCCACGAAGCGCTGTACTGGGTGAGTGAAACGCAGGGAGGAGGGAGGAAGGGGAGAAGGAAGGAGGGAACGAGGGGACCGTCGCTTCAAAACGAGGACCCAACACCACAAGATGGTTGGGAACAAAACAACATAATTATCCTGGTTAAAGACCCAACAGTACGCAATTGTTCGTAACGCGTTGTGGCTGCCGCTTTCGGTGGGGCTCCCTGTGGGGCCACGAAACGCTGCCTTGGGTGGGGGAACCGTTCGAACTGCGCCACTGGGGCGGGCCTTCGGTGGAGCTCCCTATGGGGCCACGAAGCGCTGCCGTGGGCGGGGGAACCGCATGCGGACGGTCCCACTGGGGGCTTCGGTGGAGCTCCCTATGGGGCCACGAAGCGCTGTGCTGGGTGGGGGAACCGCACGCGAACTGCGCCATGGGGGCCCTCGGTGGAGCTCCATATGGGGCCACGGAACGCTGCCCTGGGTGGGGGGAGACGCATGCGAACTGCGCCACTGGGGCCTTCGGTGGAGCTCCCCATGGGGCCACGAAGCGCTGCCGTGGGTGGGGGAACCGCATGCGAACTGCGCCACTGGGGCATTCGGTGGAACTCCTTATGTGGCCACGAAACGCTGCCCTGGGTGGGGGAACCGCATGCGAACACCCCCACGGGGGCCATCGGTGGAGCTCCCTATGGGGTCACGAAGCGCTGCCCTGGGTTCGGGAACCGCATGCGAACTGCGCCACTGGGGCCTTCGGTGGAGCTCCCGATGGAGCCACGAAACGCTGCCCTGGGTGGAGGAATCGCATGCGAGAGCAGCCACTGGGGCCTTCGGTGGAGCTCCCTATGGGGCCACGAAACGCTGCCCTGGGTGGGGGAACCGCATGCGGGAGCAGCCACTGGGGCCTTCGGTGGAGCTCCCTATAGGGCTGCGAAACGCTGTCCAGGGTGGGGGAACCGCATGCAAACACCCCCACTGGGGCCGTCAGTGGAGCTCCCGATGAGGCCACGAAACGCTGCCCTGGGTGGGGGACCCGCATGCGAACACCCCCAATGTGGCCTTCGGTGGCGCTCCCTATAGGGCCACGAAACGCTGCCCAAGGTGGGGGAACCGCATGCGAACACCCCCACTGGGGCCTTCGGTGGAGCTCCCTATGGGGCCACATGCGACCCCCTCCCACTGGGGCCATCGGTGGAGCTCCCTATGGGGCCACGGAACGCTGCCCTGGGTGGGAGAACCGCATGCGAACACCCCCACTGGGGCCTTCGGTGGAGCTCCCCATGGGGCCACGAAACGCCGCCCTGGGTGGGGGAACCGCATGCGAACACCCCCACTGAGGCCTTCGGTGGAGCTCTTTGTGGGGCCACGAAACACTGCCCTGAGTGGGGGAACCGCATGCGAACACCTCCACTGGGGCCTTCGGTGGAGCTCCCCATGGGGAAACGAAACGCTGCCCTGGGTGAGGGAACCGCATGCGATCACCCCCAGTGGGGCCTTCGGTGGAGCGTCCCATGGGGAGCTCCACGAAAAGCTGCCCTGGGTGGGGGAACCGCATGCGAACACCCCCACTGGGACCTTCGGTGGAGCTCCCTATGGGGCTACGAAACGTGTGAGAGGTGTGCCGAGAGCAAAGGCAAGGAGGGGGAGGAGGGAGGAGGGGGAGGAGGGGGAGGAGGGAGGAGGGAGGAGGGGGAGGAGGAAGGAAGGAGAGACGCGGGGCACCGTCTCTTCAAAACGAGGACCAACACCACAAGATGGTTGGGAAATATGAACTGTCGGAGGTCCGCGCGGATTTCTCGGAGCAGCGCGAGCGGCGCAGCCAAGGAGACCCGCCGATCCGAAAAAAACGCGCGGAGCGCCGAAAATTCATGCTCATGCCGCTTTTCTCAGCGAGCTCGGCAAAGCACGCGCCAAAGGGAACCGGCCATGCGGGCCGAGCAGGAAGGAGCGGACGCCGAAACAGCACGAGCTGTAGGGCAAGCTGCTCTGCTCCAGGCACGCTGCGCTGCCTCTGCCTGGCGACAGCGCCTGCGGACGCTCCGAGGTTAAAAAATTGTGTATCAGATTGGGGGGGCCAGAACTTAACGAAAAAACCATCGTATGAGCGTCAACTTTCCGAGGTCCGCGCGGGTTTCCTGGATCGGCGCCGTGCCCCCCATGGTGGCCCAATGCCCATCCCAGGAATCCGCGCAGAGCTCGGAATGTTCATGTTAATGCAACTGATTCTTCTTCGACATGCTCCCCTCCAAAGGTGCTGGGAGACCTGGCATTGCAGAATCTCGAGCGCGGGGGAACAACTCGACAAAAAGTTCCACGGCCACCGCGCCAATAGTATCGTTCGAATGAGGGGAAGACCACCACCAGCAGAGGCGCCACCGCAATCAAGCGGCCAACCCGCCTCTACCCCATACCACACAGAAGGTTTGGGCCTCGGCCACTCCCGCGCAGCAAACCTAACCACCATGATCGTTTTAATAAAAGAGATTCGTCACCGCGCGTGCAGTGCGCTGGCATTTACTATAATGTTCTCCTGATTGCGACTCACTGACCAACGGCATTAAACGAATCCGAAGAGACTCGACGATTTCCATTAAGTTCAATGTCTGCTTGAGAAGCCCCAGAGCACCTCCACCCTCTGGAGCCCCCCTGCAAGGCTCCAAGGGAAGGTATGAATTCAAGAAGGGTCCAAAGTGAGCCGCGTACGACCTCTCGACGGCACGAGTCGCCACCGTGGCCACATCTCCCGACGCTCGGGACGGTCCTCCGATCCATCCAGAATTACCCAGTGCCCCCTGCTGACAGAAGTAAGTTGGAGGCTCCGAAACCGAGCGGTGACAGACCGTGCGGTGACCTCGAAATCCCAAGAGACCTCACCGCACGGTCCAGCACGTCACGCTTATGACCCTGGATGCTCCAGCGGCCCGAGACATCCTGGCAGAAACATCCGAATTCCCATACAGGCCGGTCACTCCAAGTCTCCACTGACTCACCACACGGTGTGGTCACCACACCGTTTGAGGGACCCCGTAAGACGAAGCTAGGACCGAGACATCATCGGACGGCTGAGGCAGCACGGCGAACCGATATGCTAAACATTACGTTTCTGTTGCATAGGAATGGGGCAATCTGGGTATCCGAAAGCTTTTCTTAGAGCATCTTGGAGCCTCCTCGGGGCGTCTTGGAGATATCTTGGGCCGTCTTGAAGCAATCTAGCGGTTTCTCCGGCCCTTCTGGGCCGCTCTGGCTGCTTTCGTCATACTCTCTGGAGCAGATTGGAGCCGCAGGGGCGGGCCCAGAGGCACCGGAGGGGGGTCACAATTTCCGGTGCCGAGGGGGAATTCCGGAAGGTGTGCCGGCCTGGGGCCCAGGTCCCCAGTACCCTGGCATACACAGATGTTTCGTTGTTTTTTGTGTTTTGTTTCTCTCTCTATATATATATATATAACATACACATACATCCATCCATCCATATGAACGTACACACATACCTACTGAAATACGTACATACATACATATATGGATTCAAGTACATACTGCTATACATGCATATGTGTATGAACATATAGAATTATATTAGCACGTATGTATATATATACACTATGCGCATGATGACACAATCTGCAAATCTGAATGAAAGATCCATGCACGGATAAACACAAATTGTACTTACGTGCCCACGGTCAGAAAACTCAAGCAGGGGGTGTAAGCAAGACCGTCGGGATTGCGCACGAAATATTAAGCACGCAACATATGGCGTGCAGCATGCAACAATCTGGTTCCACACTGCCTTCGTAAATACGGTAAGGGAATGTGTCGAACAAAGATGCCAGATCAAGAACGTGTTAGTGGATACATAAGGTAAGAGCGTTGAACGAACATGCCTAGACTCATTACAAACAATCCTTTTGATTTCAACCAATATGATGAACTCGCATCTGGCCTTGGGTCCATGAATGAACAGACCAATGTGTTGTAGCCAGCATGAGCAAAACATTGGGAAATCACATTGTGCGTGAACATGTTGAGCGACTGTGTGAAAGCAAGTTGTGTTTTTTTTGGCGCCGTGGCAGCGCGGTCTGCATGCGGTGCGCGTCCGATATCCATACTTCGGAGGTGCTGCACGCGGGCAGGCCCAAAAGAAGCGCACGCGGCGACGCCAATCATCGGACATGAACTCTGCTCCCTCGGAGAAGTGTGCATGAGAAGACTCTCTGGGGGAGTGCAGCTCAGAGACAGTTATGGCGTCGCCAGTTTGCGGCAGTTTTCCGCGTGGGAGGTCATACAGACTCTGAGGTTAGAGTGCGCCCCTCACGCAGATCGTGATGTCACTGTCCAAACACCCAACGTCTGCTCGAGACGTTCAAACACACAACAGTGCAACACGGTGTTGCACATACTGATTCGACCAGCATTGGTGAATTAATGACTTCGGGTGTTTCTTTATTCCAGTACGCCTTTTTCTAGTGGAAATCATTCGTGTCCAGCGAATACATGACTATTGTTTCAAACCTGTGTGGTCAAATTCGCCTGGGCAGCATGAATTGTTCAACGCGACTGGTGTCGCTCACACATTGGTGCTCAGGCACGCTGGCTCAACACAGTTGCATGATGCAGTTATGATCAGATTGGTGACTGAATGACTTGCACGCACCATGTCAATTGCCTCATCTTTCGAACATACTTCCAACATGCCTACTCATACACACTCACACACACTCATACACACACCAAATCGATGTGCATGAACCTGGGCACGGACGTGCCGGTCGCATGTGCATATAAAAAACCATCACTCCTCAGCGCAGCAGCGCGCCAGGCCCAAATCGATGGCACACTAAACCGCAGGAAGTGCGCTGGACGGGAGCGCACCACCGGCGCCTACTGGACGAACACCGACACGGCGGGCGTCAGCAGCAGATTGCCTTGTTACATCTTTCGCACGCCCCCCGAAGGAGGCTGGCTGGCCGAACCCCTGCCGGAGCGCTCTACTGCTGCTCTGCGACCCGCCGGTCCTGGATGGATTTGTCGAACCTGTTCATCCGCGCCGCCTCTAGATGACAAAAAAGCGTCGTAAACATGAACTTTCAGAGAACCACGCGGGTTTCTTGGATCGGCGCTGGGGAGTCCGGCGCCGTGCCAAGAGATCCGCGCGGACCTCCAGAAGTTTGCGCTTCTGCAGACTCTTGCTCCTCGAGCCTCGGGCTCGAAGACCACTAGGGGCGTGCAGTCGTGCAGCGGCTCTGCGTTCGTGGCTGGGTGCGGCACCCTGCCGAAGTCCAGGCCTGAGGGCCAATCATAGATCATGGGGGGACCAGCTCAGGAGGGAAACATCGAGCTTGATGAATCTGCGATACATCACCGATAGATCGGCGATGGGCCCCCGATAGTGAAACCGCACGTTCCTGGGAGGGGTGGGCTGTCGGGCCCCGTCGGCGATGAATGGGCGATCTGGGATCGATGCATCCACTCCTGAGCCTTTGCCCCCTAAAATTCCCCCTGCATGGCTTTCGGGTCAGAACTCGGCTCTATGGCAGCCATCCGGAACGGCCCGGGCCTCCCATGAACAACCTCCGCGAGGCGCAGCTGCTGGAGATCACCCCGAGGCTGGAACATCGCTGAGAAACGAAAGCGTCCTAAAACCTCGAACCTCGACCCCGAGAAAGTCAAACTAAACGTTGCCCCTGAAGGCCGAGCTGCTGTATGAGGGCCCACTCATCGTGCACGCCCCACTCGGCGACGTACTGCCACTGCCCGCTGGCGGGGTCGCGCTGCACCAGCGACTCCACCATGCCCGTCCACCTCGAGGAAGGAAACAAAACACAACAATTGCATACACGTAAACTGTCCGAAATCCGCGCGGAGCTCCGAAAGTTGATGAGTATGCCTTTTCTTGTTAATCGAACCTCGCGAAGCGGCCAGTCGGCGGACCGTAAGCGGACGGGCCCAGGTTGGTTCCAGTGAGCACGTCCGGCATCGCGCACTTGTAGCCGTCCAGGTCGTTGCCCTTGCAGACGCAGTCCGTGATATTCGGCGGCGCGCCGAGGGGACAAGTGAAAGGGGCGGGCCTTCTCAGAATGCTGCGGGGGCTTCTCAGAAGCCCTCTGCGGCTTCGGAGAAGGCTCCGATATCTTCTGAGAAGGCCGGAGGCCTTCTGAGCATTCTGAGAAGGCCCGCCCTATCTGCCTTCCCCCCTGAGCGCGCCGCCGAAATGTGGATCTGGATGTCTGGGAACGCCCGCATCTCCGACAGGACGGCGTCACGCAGCTCCTTCTTGCCAATGCCGCGCCTGCCCCAGGAGCCAGCGTTGTAGTAGCCCTCGTGGAAGTACTTCTCGATGGCCGCGTCGACGTCACCGCGGAGGTTCCAGACCTCGTCCGTGCTCCGGATGACGAAGCCGCACGCGTCGAAGGTCTGCGGCCCAGCGTTCACTGGCTCCAGATGGGGGATAAGACAGGAATTGTTGAGCGGCACCGACATGAGGTACTCGTCGGGGACGCTGCTGTGGGGAAGCCAAGATGTAGCGATACAGCTACTTCCCGGACCGCGCCCGGGGTGCGTTCTGACCAGAGCCTAAAGTCGGCGGTGGATTTTTGTTCCCCTTAATGAAAACGGCCTGGGACCGAAACCGACGGACCTGGAACCGCAAAAACGATGGCCGCGACGCCCTCTCGCGAACCGAAAACGGCCAATTCGCTAATCGACGTGTCAGGGTAGGAGGTCTATCAATCTCCGAGTTCTGACCAGAACCCAAAGGCGAATCAAGCCGTGGCGGCAAGGGCCTCCCAGGAGGCCCAAGAGGGCGAGAAAGGCACAGGGGTATCGTTGAGGGCTCAATGGCTTCGACCGTCCCTTGACTCGCGCTGAAGCAGCAACGACTTGCTACAAATGTCCCTGGAGATATTTGGATGTATGATGTGGATGTACTTTGGGTGACCCAAATGGGGGTCCAGCTGAAAAGGGCGGTGCAATAGATTTGGGGCAATTGTATTCCAGATGTACTGCGCCAGAGAATTGTTTTGCATTGTATTGCAAGTAATGTATTGCACGCGAAGACCCGGCAATACATTTGCGCCCTGGAATGCATTGCTCGCCCCAAATGTATTGCAACCCCACGTAGCTATTGCACCAAATCTATTGCACCACCCCCTTGTCGCTGGAACCCCTTTGGGGTCAACCCGATGTACCAGGATCGACCAGGATGTACCCAGATTCACCTCCGTTTCTCTACACGTCTACCTTAATTTATCTGGCTCGATCGCCACAAGTCGATAGGCAGAAAAAATCGACAATCCCTTAGGGAGGGTAATGGTATCGGTCCCCTTTCCTCTTCCGATCCTGGGCGCGGCCACGGCCGGGTAGAAGCCCTGGCCGTCGGCCGCAGGCGCGGTCGACCGCTCCGCTTGGAGCCAGCGCTGCTGGGCCGTCACGAGAGCGAGCGTGGCCAGCGCCCCGACACCGATGCCCGCGCCAAAGGCGAGCGGCGTCCGGAGGCGGTGGAGGAGGAAGTACTTCCAGCCCCGCTGCTCTCGCACCTCTAGATGAGGGGGGGGGACATGGCACACACCGCAAGCACACACACACACACACACACACACGCACACGCACACACACACAGAGAACAAACTGCATAAACATAAACTATTTGGCGCCCCTCGCGGATTTCTAGGATCGACGCGCCCCCCCACCACCTCCACCGGCGCGTTGCCCGCGCCAGGCAGGAGGAAACATAGCGCAGATGCAAGAAATCGACCGCGCGGACCTCCGAAAAGTTACGTTTATGCCGTGCTTTCTTGCTCGAACCTTGTCCAGGCGCGACTCCAGGTTGTGCCGCAGCCCGAAGGGAGGCAGGTCACCCTCCGAGGCGACGGTGGAGCTGTCCCATGGCGCTCCGCCGGTGCTTTGACGCGACGGCAGGAACGGAGAAGCTTGGACGGCGCCAACCGCGTGAGGCAGGCTCGTGTCGTGACGACGACGGCGTTGATTCCCGGCGCCGCGAGGAAGGTGCAACCTTGCTCGATCGCGGCTGTCTGATTGCGCAGATCGCTCAGGGCCGCTGACGGCGTTCGACCTTGAACGCCGGCGCTGGGGTCACCGCCGCATCGACACAACAAGAACCTGCCGTACCAGCTCAGCTTGATGCACGCTGCCGCACATGCCAGCACGCGCGGAGGCGTGTGTCGAGCTTGTTCTGGCGCACGGCTGCCGTCGTCCAGGAAGCGCTGGTGGACATCGTCGTCCGATCCAGAAGCGGTCAGGGGGCCAGCGGGGAGCAGCGGGAGCAGCGGGGCCTTCTGTGCCGCCTGAGGTCAAAATGCTGTGGGGGATGAGGAGGAAACGGAACAGGATGTGGAGGCTGTGGAGGAGGAGGCGAGAGAGTAGGAGTAGTAGTAGGAGGAGGAGGAGGAGAAGGAGGAGGAGGCGAGGTAGTAGTAGTAGTAGTAGTAGTAGTAGTAGTCGTCGTCGTCGTCGTCGTCGTCGTCGTCGTCGTCGTCGTCGTCGTCGTCGTCGTCGTCGTCGTCGTCGTCGTCGTCGTCGTCGTCGCCGCCGCCGCCGCCGTCGTCGTCGTCGTCGTCGTAATAGTAGTAATAGTAGTAATAGTAGTAATAGTAGTAGTAGTAGTAGTAGTAGTAGTAGTAGTAGTAGTAGTAGTAGTAGTAGTAGTAGTAGTAGTAGTAGTAGTAGTATTGGGAGGAGGAGGAGGAGGAGGAGAAGGAGGGGGAGGGAGAGGGGAAGGGGAAGGAGGAGGAGGAATGAGGATGCGGATGAGGATGAGGAGGAGGAGGAACTTTGGATCCGATTGCGCTAGGTCGGGCTGGGTTGGGTTGGAAGCATCCTCGGAGTGGAATGTTGCCCGCGCAGCGGCCTTGGTCGGAGGAGCGCCCTGTGGACCCCTGTCTGAGGCTGCCCTTTGATCGTGGGGTCAGGTCAGACAGGGCCAGAACGTGAATCCAAGCCAGAACGTGAACCTGAGCTGGCCACGCAATTCATAAAGATCGCGACCCAAAATTTCCAACGGAGCGGAAGCTTGGGACCAAACTCGAAGAAATACGACGGATGGGGGGTCCAATTTCGATAGGGGTACGTCCGAATAGCCCCCCAGGGATGTCCCCTGAGTTTCCCCCATTCTGATCGGCCGTATTTGTCGGGCGAAGCTCGGGGATTGGGGGCGAGAATTCGCAGGCGGAAAAAAAAACTGCCAAACGAGGACAGCGGAGGCAAGGGAGGGAACTCGGCGTTCGGGGTCCCGCACGGCCACCAAATCCTGGCCAGCCAAAGGGAATCTCACAAAGGGGTGGCTGAGGCATCCGATGTCTGAATGTCTCACTACGAGAGGTGGTCCCTGGAACTCCCGCCCCATTTCCCGGGGACTGAATTTTCACCCCAAGCGGTTGTTTGACGGTCCCCGAACCTGGCGAGGGACCCCAGAGACCGAAAATGACTAACATCTCTGGTTGTTGTTGTTCACGACGCGAATATGCATGGAATTACCTGCGCCCTGATAACCGGTTGCGCGCCAAAACTGGCCCCGCGCCCAGGCTTCAAACAGGCAGCTCCTCGGGGCGCACCACGGACTCGGAAAGGTGGACCGCCATCTCGCGGCTTGGGCCGAAGCCTCACAACCAACCAGCCGAGGTATTTCATGCGCCACACAGGCTCAGGACAAGAGCAGGACACAAACATGACCTCGTCGTGAAAATTCGCCTGACGAAAGGCCCAACAATTTGTAGTGTGAGTACCGCAATTGTGATCCACTTTTTCGGCGGTGATCTCTATGAGGCAACGAGCCATGCTAGGGGTGTGCCGAAATGAGTGGCGTGGTACACGACGCGAGCGAAAACGATTGATCTGAGTACGTAGGGAGACTGAGCGCGGGTGAATCTGGGCGCGAGTGCGTCTGACTGTGAATGAATATGCGTGCGAGCGAGGCGAGTCTACGTACATGAGTGCGAGTATGACAAAGCGTGGTGTATTTATAAATGAATGTCAATCGTTTGAGAACGATTGCCTCTGAGTGTTCGGGACGATGGGCGTGGCCGCCGCAAGGAGCTCCCCCGGGACCCCCCGACGGCATCGCCCGCGCGCCGCGACGCCAATGTCGGCGCGCCCCCCCTCGAGGATCGCGCCCACTTCCTCCCCTTGTTTTACTCCCTCTTTGCCCGCGCACTCAAAAGCCCAAGGCTGCGGGCGCAGCGCAGCGCGGAGTCCCCGCGACGCGCGCAGGTCGCCCTGGACGGGCCCCAGCGACGCGCATGGGTCGTCCGCTGCGCGGAGCAAAGAGAGCCAGCTGGCTGGCTAATAGCGGGCATGGCTCTGCCGTTGGGCAGAGCGACAACGGGCGAGCGAGGCGCGGAACTCCGACGGCCTCCGACGGAGATGCACTGGATGGGGGAGAGGCATGCGGACTGCGCAACGGGGACCTTCGGTGGAGTCCCCAATGGGGCCACGACACGCTGCACTGGGTGGGGGAGACGTACGCGGACTGCGCCACGGGAGCCTTCGGTGGAGCTCCCTATGGGGCCACGAAGCGCTGTACTGGGTGAGGGAGACGCATGCGGACTGCGCCGCGGGGACCTTCGGTGGCGCCCCCTATGGGGCCACGAAAAGCTGCACTGGGTGAGGGGGGCGCATGCGGACTGCGCCGCGGGGACCTTCGGTGGAGCCCCTTTATGGGGCCACGTAGCGCTGTACTGGGTAGGGGGAGACGCATGCGGACTGCGCCACGGAGACCTTCGGTGGCGCTCCCTATGTGGCCACGAAGCGCTGTGATGGGTGAGGGAGACGCATGCGGACTGCGCCACGGGGACCTTCACGGAAAAATGCACTGGGTGGGGGAGACGCATGCGGACTACACCGCGGGGGCCTTCGGTGGAGCCCCCTATGGGGCCACGAAACGCTGTGCCGGGTGGGGGAGGCTGCGCCACGGGAACCTTCGGTGGGGCTCTCTATGGGGCCACGAAGCGCTGTACTGGGTAAGGGAGACGCATGCGGACTGCGCCGCGGGGACATCCGGTGGGGCTCCCTATGGGGCCACGAAGCGCTGTACTGGGTGGGGGAGACGCATGCGGACTGCACTGCGGAGACCTTCCGTGAAGCCTCTATGTGGCCACGAAGCGCTGTACTGGGCGGGGGGGGGCGCACGCGGGCTGCGCCACGGGGGCTTTCGGCGGGGCTCCCTATGAGGCCACGAAGCGCTGTACTGGACGATGGAGACGCATGCGGACTGCGCCGCGGGGACCTTCGGTGGAGCCCCATATGCGGCCACGAAACGCTGTATTGGGTGGGGGAAACGCATGCGGACTGCGCCACGGAACCTTCGGTGGCGCTCAATATGGGGCCACGAAAAGCTGTGCTGGGCAAGGGGGGCGCATGCGGACTGCGCCACGGGAACCTTCGGTGGAGCCCCCTATGGGGCCACGAAGCGCTGTACTTGGGTGGGGGAGACGCATGCGGACTGCGCCACGGGGACCTTCGGTGGCGCCCCCTATGGGGCCACGAAACGCTGCACTGGGCGGGGGGGGCGCATGCGGAATGCGCCACGGGAGCTTTCGGCGGCGCTCCCTATGAGGCCACGAAGCGCTGTACTGGGTGATGGAGACGCATGCGGACTGCGCCACGGGGGCCTTCGGCGGCGCTCCCTATGAGGCCACGAAGCGCTGTACTGGGTGAGGGAGACGCATGCGGACTGCGCCACGGAGACCTTCGGTGGTGCCCCTATGGGGCCACGAAGCGCCGCACTGGGGGGTGATGATGTTGATGCTGCTGATGTTGATGATGATGATGATGACGGCGACGATGCGATGATGATGATGGTGGTGATGATGATGATGATCACGGATCAGCAATATGACGGTCTGCAGACTAGAAGCTCGGCGCGGGCGCGGCGCGCGGCGCAAGCGGCACTGTGGCGCACCGCGGTCAGACGGCCTCCGCGATTGAAGTGGCCCCTCATGGTGTGGAAGAGTTTGTGGGCCGTTGCCGTGCGCAGCAAGCCGGACTTCGATGTCATGCCAAGTCGCTCCCGTACGGAAGATGGGGGCGATCCTGGCCAGTACTCGAAAAGACCTTAAAACTTGTCACAGTTGACATAATGCCATTGGTCTGCATTCCGGAATCCGCACATGTATCATGCATGGCGGACAGGCTCATGCATCCGCCGCGTTGTAAACCATCCATGGCACCATGTCCTCAAGATCAGTATGCGTTGCGGCCTGGAGACAGACCGGGGGCTCTTGATGGCGGCAGCGGCGTCAGCAAGAGACAGCGTGTCATCTGACGTAGAGCTCTGCCAGCGCTGCAGCATCAGACCTGGCCAGTCTGACACCCGCCACTCCCTCAGGGTAGCCCGTTGCCTCGCGCGCTGGATTCGGCTGAGCGGCAGCCGGCCGCGAGACCAATCACGGAGCACGCCGGCAAAGTGTCCTCGCCGGTGCCAGTCCGGATGAGCTGCTGCAGCACGTTCCAGGTTGAGGGCGAGAAGTGGGGCCTTCCACCATCTCTGCGCGAGAGGTCCAATGGCCTGGACGAAACAACCACGTCGTTCAACGAGACGCCGGGTGAGCTCGAGAGACTGCTTCCAGACAGCGCAGGTCTTCAAAGCGAAACGCGCCATGATGGACAGGCCGTAGCATTCAGCTCGTCGACGAAGTACCCCGCCCATGGAGGCGCGGCCCCCCGTGGGGCGCGAAAGACTTCGGCGATGATGGAGCCCTGGCTGCTGACTAGCACGTTGGGGGGGGTCCACAAACTGAAGCTTGTAGCTGAGGATTGGCTGTATACGACTGGTGCAATCCAAAATGTTCTGCGCCATCGACTCGCGTGATAAACCCAACTGGGCCAAACGATGCCGGACTCTTCTGGTGGGTTTCGCCCACTGCATCGCGGCGGCACTTTGTCCGAGCATCACGCCCAGATACTCGAAAGACGACTCGGCGCGCATCCCGGCGTAAACCGGGAGCCCGTCGGCGCAAGCGCGCACTTCTTTAGCTTCTCGGCGAGCCCCGCGGCCTCTTCGACAAGGGCGCAGAGACTCGGGGCGGGGGTCAGCGCGTGGGCGCCCCAGAGGCTGACGCCCACATCATCGGCGCGCATTCTGAAGACGCCCCTGGAATGCACGGCGGCCCCCATGCCCAGGGCGAGGGGGTCAGCGCCGAGCACGAAGAGCACGGGGCTCAACGGGTCGCCTTGCAAAACGCCGGTGTAAATAAGAAAACTGGGAATCCATTGGCCGTCGACGTAGATAACAGTGGCAGCAAAATCACATATAGAGTGAAGAAGGCCGATGAGGAAGTCGGGCCAACCTTGGATGATGATGCTGATGATGATGAGAGGAGGGGAGAAGGGAGGACAATTGACAGAGCAATTCGGAGCCGATGTCAACAATCTCCACCACTGACTCTTGCTCAAGCAAAAAGCACAACGCCATCCCCTGACGGCTCTATGCAGGCGTAGCCTAACAAATGGGACATGGACTATGGAATAAGGGATGGCCCTGCCGCGGCGAAGGCGCCGTCAGGCCTCGGCGGCGATCCTAGGCTGGGAATTACCCAGACGAGGGCGCCTGCAGGCATCAACCCGGCCCTCGGGATGCGCGCCCTCGCGGGCACCATGGCCTACGGGACGCCTCCTGAGGCGATTCCTGCCGTTGTCTCGCCCCCCCCCCCCCCCCCCCCCCGACGGCCGCGACCCCGACCCCGCCCCCGCCCGCCCCTCGCACGATGATCGGCTACAACGCGCACAATCTGGTCCGCCTCGGGAGGCTGGCGCAAGATATCCGGATCTGGGATGCCCCTCTGCGCCAACTCGCGGGCGCGCGCGCTGCTCTGGAGCCGACCTATTTGGAGACCTTCTGGAGTGCCTGGGACGCCTCCCTCTCGAGGTCTCCCCGAGGAGCTGGGCCGACCATCTCCACGGCAACGCCCTCCGCCAAGACGGCCTCGAGAGGCTGCGCTGCCGGGGTCGACGCTGGAGCCCAAGCGACAAACTGGAACTGGATGTTCACCATCCCCCTCATCCTGTCTGAGCGTGGCCCCTTCGGGGCCCTGACCGTGTCGTGTTTCGCGTGCGTGTTCAAGTACTTGTGATCCTTGTTCGCGACGTGCGCCACCGCGGACGCGTCGACTGGACCCTTGCCCCGCCCACTGCGCTGCCGTCTTGTGGGCCATCATGGTCAGGTACCGCACCATCAGGTACGGAGGTCCCAGGACCGCCGTGTCGGTCGACGGATCCTCCTTCTTCTTGGCCTTCAGCGCCTCCGCCTGGGCTTGGTACCCCTTGTTGGCGGCCAGGCCCCCTTGGCCAAGATCGACTCTTCCTTCGCCAGGGACGCGCGGAACATGCACGCGGACATCACTGCGACGTCGCGCGCACTGGCGAGAGACAAGCGGGCGACAGACCTGAGCAAGTGCATGCCGTCGTCGTCGTCGGAAGGGGGTTCCTGCCTGGGCTTCACCCGTTGCGATCTGGCACATGTGTATCGGAGAGGCCCCATCTGGATCTTCGGAGGCGCGCCCTGGGCTAGGAACCGAGAACGTTTCGACGGAGGGGTTCCATGCGCGGACGTGGTTGGCTGACATGTTCCAGGAGATTCGATTCACTGGATGTTTGCCCCTCCTGTGGTCCTGTAGTCAAGGATACTGTTTGCAAAAAGGCCCCTTGAATGGCCCGCGCGGCAAACGTGTGGTTCACGGGCTTGATCCTGTAGGCAAAGGTCTTCTTCAATCTCTTATGCGACGGGCGCCTCGATACTTAAATCCCACCAGCCCTTTGGGCGTGAGTGGTTTAGAGAGCCCGCTCTGTTCTCAACCCTCCTTCCCCTTCGGGGAGGGGTTTACCCCTCCCCCTCCCCCCTCCCCCTGGGCCTGGAGAGGTCCCACCGCGGGTGGTCAGGGGAGTCCGTTTCGACTCCTGGGAGGGCTAAAAAACGACACCCCTCACGAGGATTCTGGCCCCGACGGGGGGGGGGAAGAAAAAACCCTCTCCTCTTCTTTGAAGCCAAAATCATTGATTTTACTACGGTGTTGGCCCCATTTTGGCCTTCTGAGGGGGCAGCGCTCATTAAGGCGCACCTCTTCCTTCAAGGCAAAATCATTGATTTTACTACGGTGTTGGCCCCATTTTGGCCTTCTGAGGGGGCAGCGCTCATTAAATATTCCCTCTTCATTGATCGACTTCCTCCAAGATGGCCCCAAGAAGCGCACAGGAGGCACACTGAGGCCCCAAGATGGCCCCAAGAGGCCCCAGGAGGCCCCCAAGAGGCCTCCAAAAGGCCCCCAAGATGCCCCCAAGAGGCTACCAAGAGGCCCCAAGAGGCTCCCCCGAGGCACCCAAGACGCTCCTGGAAGCCACTGGGGCCGCCAAGAGGCCCCCAAGACGCCCCAAACGGCCTCCAAGCGGCTCCCAAGAGGCCCGAAGAGGCCCACCCCAAGGCACTCAAGACGCTCCTAGAAGCCCCTGGGGCCGCCAAGAGGCCCCCAAGACGCCCCAAAAGGGGACGAGGTGCCCGAACGCCTCACGCCGCGAGGAGCCCGAACGACTCACACCAGGACGAGGGGCCCGAACGACTCACACCACGAAGAGCCCGAACGACTCACACCAGAAGGAGGGGCCCGAACGACCCACACCAGGACGAGGCGCCCGAACGACTCACACCACGAGGAGCCCGACCGACTCACACCACGACGAGGGCCCCGAACGACTCACACCACGAGGAGTCCGAACGAGTCACACCAGGAGGAGGGGCCCGAACGACTCACACCAGGACGAGGGGCCCGAACAACTCACACCACGAGAAGCCCGAACGACTCACACCAGGACGAATAGCCCGAACGACTCACACCACGAAGAGCCCGAACGACTCACACCAGGAAGAAGGGCCCGAACGACTCACACCAGGACGAGAAACCCCAAACGACTCAAACCACGAGGAGCGCTTTCTCTCCCTCCTCCTCCGCCTCGTCCTTCTCCCGCTCCCCCCACAAGGAGGATGTACAAGGAGGCGGGAGGAAGGAGGAACAGGGGATATATGCGGGGGCAAGCGGACACACGCCTGCAAAACACGACTGTCGGCATGCTTCGCAAGAGTTGCTGTTGTGAGATGGGCTGGTGGGGATACGCGAAGCGCAAAGAATTCTGAGCTGGACCATGGCTTCTTGAAGCATAGGCGACGGGAGGACGCCGTGGCAGCCACGATGGCTATGTCCTGGCGTATGAATCGTGCTGGCATTTACTGGGTAGACTCGCTTACGAATTTGGCAAACGCTTTGCTAGTCCTACTTGGGAAGCGCTGGGCGATGCAGCGGGGACTCTTCTGAGAGACCGCGTCGTCGGAATGGGGACCCAGGGACATAGACTTGCCTGCTGCTTGCTGCCTGCTTCTGACGGGGAGTGCCTTCTTAAGACGGGAGGGGGAGCTATGCAAGGTGATCCTTATGCTGTTGTGTCATTTGTTCGAGTTTTTCTGCCAGTCATTGACGAATGGGTTGACGCATGTGTGGAGCGTGACCCCTTGGATCGTTTATTGCATGCAGAGTGCCCGTTTCTGCCGGGAACAGAGTGCGATCGAGTGTATGTGGGCCGTTTCAAATTCACTGACGACGTGCTCAAAAAGATGTTGGTGGGTCGTCGGTTCGATCTCTCGGAGAGTGTTGCCACGCTCGAAGCCAACGATGCCGACTTCGACCGCGTTCTTGGGAAACTGGGAGTGGAGCGTAACCATGAAAAACAGGAGGCCTTGCTTGCAGTGCCACCCACAGGTCAACACAAAGTCGCCCACGCCTTGAAGCTACGGGGGACTCAGACTGGCGCTTCGGTGAGATCTGGGACCATTACTTCGACACAGTCCTTTGAGGCGGAGCTCAAACTACGCATCAAAGCTGCTAAGCAAGCGTACTTTAGTATGGGGTCGTTTTGGTCGAAGTTTGGCGTTCCGCAGAAATGGCGACGATGCGTCATGCTGTGCAGAGTCGTTACGGCGGCCTTGTCTGGAGTCTAAGCGTTTCTTCCCAGCGACGGCCAGAAACGGAAGTTGCAGTTGGTTGTGGCAGGGCTGTGCAGGAGGGCGATGAGAGGGAAGGCGGCATGGGAAGAGGCGGGGGGAGTACGATGTCTAAGCTCGAACCAAGTTTTTCGTCACTGGAGGCTTGTTCCGTTTGATGTTGAACTTCGAGTTCGTCGGCTGAAATGGTTGCAGTCTGTTTTTTCTCGCCCGAGGGAACATCGACAATTGATCTCCTCGTGGTTCGGGAATCTCGCTTTTGATGACCAGGTGGTCCACGGAGTCCGAGTCGGATCGTGCAGCAATCCGTGGGCCATTCGAGCACAGGAAGATGTGTTGGTTCTGACGAGAGTGTCTGAGGAGGCCGCTGACTGCTGGGCTCGTGCCCACCAACGGTTCGCTCATCTAGTCGATCCTGAAATTGCGGCTGCTTTCGCCAGGGTCGACGTGCGGATCCTTCGCAGTCATTGTTGGGGCGTCGAGGTTGCCCCCCCTGGCACGGTGGAGGAGAACGTCAAGGAGGAGGGAGCACTATTCACTGAACGTATGCATGTATGTCCATGGTCTGAAAATACCGGCCCTTGTGTTGCGACATGTTCGTCTTTTTTCTAGTCTGGCTAATCACATGCGTATAATGCATGATACGGTACCATTGGCACAAGCACTCACAATAACGAATCAATGCGTGGCATGTCATGAAGTATTTGGGGAAACGAGAACTGCGCATCGACACCTAGCAAGCGGCTCGGTGTTTGGAGAACTTTCGGACTACAATCGCCACGCTTTGACGCACCTCCCAATTGTGCCGCGCAGCCGGTATGGACTTAGACGAGGAGCTGTTCGGGACCGAGGAGCTCCCGCCCTGGTTCGGAGTCACGTGCGGAATCAGCAGGCCCAAGCGCCAGGCAGAGGGCCCGCCAGAGGGTCGAGACCAGAAGGCGGTGAGGGGCAAGGGCAGGAGGAGGGATGAGGATGAGGAGGAGGAGGAGACGCGGGGACCGTCTCTTCAAAACGAGGACCCAACAACACAGGTCGGTTGGGAAAAAGAGGCGGCATGGTTTGGCCGTTTGTAACCTCTGGGGGCCCTCGCTGCGCCCGAAGACCGTCAAAAAACGACTCTGGATGAAAAACAGGTCCCTGGGAATAGGTCGAGACCTCTGGGGGTCGACGATGTGAAAACAAGTCATGACCTCGGGGTCTGGGGGCGTTGCTCCAGGCCCGGCCATCGACAATCAGCCCTACGTTTCGAGGGCGCCGCCGCTGGACTGCGTATGCCTGGCTCGGCCCATGCGTGATACCAAGTGCGCCCCTTGTGTTGGGCCAGCGGCGGTGGAACGGCCGGGCACAAGCACGGCCCAGACAGATCCTACGTGAGCGCGTGAAGGCAGAGCGCTGGGCCGCTGGCGGGAGGGCGACCTCCGGAAGCCGAACCCTTTGGCTCCAGCAAAAGAGCTCAACCCATCCCCACCGCGACGCAGGCCTGATGAAGACCCTGGAGAATGATGCGTGGGAGATGAACGAGACGCTGTGGTCTCGTCGACCATGACAAGCTGGAGGGTGGTAGCACCGGGTGCGCGAAAGAGCCGCTGACAGCGCCATACCCAGGCCCCCCACGCCGTGACTTATTCACAACATGGACCCCCAGAGGTCTGCAGCGCTTCCCCAGGACAGGTTTGTCATCACAGGACGTTTTTGTTGACGGTCCCGAGGCCCATCTAGGCCAAGCATGATCGACCTACGAACCCAGAAAGGAATGTTGTAATCTTAAAGATGGAAGCGTTTTCAAGGCACCTAACTGGACGACGGGCACTTCCAATGATGAACAGATCGTTGCTTATACAACGTGTCAAGGTCTATGCGCTCATGTGCCATGATGAACTGAGATTGATCAAGCCGCGTTAAGCTGAGCTGTGCTTGATATAGTCGTCCCTGGCATGCGAGTCCAGACCGAACTAAGATTGATCTTAAGCTCGAGCTGTCTGAGCAAATAACTCGCCCAGAGCTGGTTGCAATCGAAGCGGGCGGGGCGCTCGACCAACACAAATTAAAAATCCGATTCAATTCCGAAACCTGACAAACCACGAAGGGGCGAATCAAAGACGAGGCGAAACGCACGGTGGATGGACAGACCGAAACGCGGCGTACCGAAACATGACGAACTACATCAAGGTGACGATGTTGATGTGCCGTGCCAGGAGCTGTGCTTTGTTGTGATGACTTGAAATGTGCCATGCGGCGTTGAACTGTGCTCTACTGCGTTGTGGACCAAGTCGTCCTTTGCGTCAGAATTCTGACCGAACTGATCTGGATATGAGGCTTGAGCTGCCTGAGCGCATAACTCGAGCTGGTTGCAGTCGAGCCGCGCGGGGTGTTCGACCAGCTCAAGCTCCAGATCTGATTCAAATCCGCGACTGGACTAACCAAGATGGGGCGACTCCAAAAAGACGCGCATGTTGACGTGTGGAAATTCCGACGGCCTCATGTTAAATGTCCCCAATGGGTGTTCTGGACACGTGAAAACACATGCCAAAAGCACTGGCGCAAAACCCATATTCGATATCCCCTCCGCGCCCGTGTTGCGAGGAGCCCAACGCTCTCATGTTCGATATCCCCTCCTGTGTGGCGTGGACACGTGGAAACACGTTTCGTGCACAGGCGCCTGCACAGGCGCCAAACGCATGTTAGATACACCCTCCGCGCGCGTAGTTCTACGTGTGGGGTGTCTGACGACCACATGTTGGATATGCTACCAACGTGGGCTAGACACATGAAAACACAAGCAACAAGCACAATCGCGAGATTCATATCAGATGCCCCTTCGCGCCAATATGGTTACGTGCTACCAGGCCGACGACCTCATGTTGGATATACCCTTAAGGGCCCAGACACGTGGAAATCCGCGCAAAGCGCAAACACACCATATGCATATCAGATACCCCCTCCGCGCGCATAGACTCGTGAAACCACGTGCAAAGTGCACGGGCGCCAGACGCGTGCAAGCATTTCCACGTGCGCAGAGCGCCACGACCTCATGCTAGACATCCGCCTGGGCGACCTGGACCCTGGACACCTGAAAGTCAAGCGTGTGGCTCGAGACGAGCCCAAACAAATACTCATATTAGACATTCGCCTGGGCGACCTGGACAGCTTAAAACAAGCGAGCTGCCCGAGACATCCTCAACAAAGCCTCATGTTAGATATCCGCCTGGGCGACCTGAGGCGCTTCTTCACGTTGCGCTCGAGACATCCTCGAGCCATATGCGAGCAGGACGCGCCAGTCACGCGCGGGCATGCACAATACCAACTGGTTCAAATATCCTACACAACTCCTTCAAATGCAAATGCGCCCCATAACAAAGACTCTGCACAACAAACGCCCCGCATCATTTCTGCAAACGAAAACGGGGGTCTGCGGATCCCTAAAATTTAGCAAGAATCCGACATGGGCGGGTGTTTTCTTCGAGCAGGCACGCGCGAAGCTCATTCATTAAATTGGACATGTGGTTGCACTATGCTTTATGTAAAAGGTTACCCTACACGTACCCAACCCATTCTCCCCGCCAGGCGAGTGTTTACATGGACCTAGGCCAGAAGAGCATCCTTCAAGAACACGAGACCATCCATCGGCCAAAACAAACAGAGCATCCAAGGGTACCCACTCCAACATGCACAAGGACATCCAACAAATAAAGAACACACACGACCTCGATGTTACATTTCGATCTGACCGTACACAAGAACACGTTGCGAGAACAATCTGCTCCGCTGCCCTTCCCAGGAGCCCACGAAAGTGGCGACAACGTGGCAGCTGCGGCCTCCAAAGGAGCAGCGAGGTCTCGCCTGCTGGCTGCCTCCGCGGGACCTCCCAGGAGCCCCCGGAAAAAACCGACGGGTGCGCAGTAGGCAAACTCAGAGGGAACTGCGAGGTCTCGCCCGACCGCCTCCGCGGAACCCCATCGGGAGCCCACGACGTGCCGACGATTGAGGAGGAGGGAGAGGGAGGAGGCTCCACAGTCAACCCGTATAGTAAGGATGCACGATGAAAATGCAAGGGCCTTGGACGCCCATTTCGAAGCGTCTCGAGCGGGGCGCGGCCAACGAAAGCGTCCAAGGATGGACCCAGGAGGCAAGGATACAAGGGTACGCTTGGGAGGGATGCATATCCTTACTATGCGGGACGACTGTATTCAAAACGGGAAACCAAGACACGGAAGGAGGGTGGAATAATTCCGCTGGCTACTACAGACTGGAAGAAAACCCTGGGCCTTGGCCGGCTCTGGTAAAACAACTCAAACAGGGTTTTTGTTCGGCGCGCGGTTCCAAAAGTCCTGGCCCCCTTCCCCAAGGGTAGTTTTTCATCCCAAATCCCAAATCCATGTTTGACGCTCCGGGGACCCGACAATGGGGCCACAGGGGCCGAAATTGGTGGGAAACACCCAAACAAAACAAACAAACGCATCCTCAGAGACCTGGGCAGGAAGGAGGCACGGGAAGCGACGAGGCGAGGACGAGGAAAGGCAAGGGACGAGGCGAGGCAATGGAAGCGAGGGGCGAAGCGAGGCAAGAGAAACGGCGACGCAAGGGGGCGAGAGGGAACGGTGGGGCCGACGGCGCCGGCGGATACGGGCCCGCGGCATCGGGCGAGCGCGCGCGCTGGGGGCCCGCGCGCCTTGGGGAAGAAGTTGCAACGCCTGCAATTGCCCGACGCGTGCTCCGCGGACCCCTTCGACGGGAGCTCCTCCTCCAGGGTTGAAGGGCAACGAAAGGGGGAGGGGCTGGCTCAAAGGTGGGGGGGCATCAAGCTTGAATCGGCGATTCATCGCCAGCAGATCGAAGTTCCTGGGTGGGGTGGGAGATCAAGCCCCTGTCGATCGGCGATGAACAAACGATTGGGGGTCGATGCGTTCCCCCTGGGCCTATCCCCCCCTAGCGTTGACCCTGAAAGGAACGGAAATCTGGCGGAGCGAAACTCCTTCCTGCGTCTTTCTTCGCTGCGCGCTTCAGACTGTAATGCGACATCCACACGCGCATACATTTTTGTAAGTCGTAGCCCCGCGGCGACTCGCCAGTGCGTCGGGAGCCCCTCGCGGGGCGCGCGCTGTCAAAAAGAAGAAAAGGAAAAGGGGGCGGCCGGCCCCTCGCGGGGCAAGGGCCGCGGGCGGCAGGGCAGCGGACAGCGGCCGCGGGGGCGGCGGAGAAGCGGGCGGGCGGGGCAGCAAGCAGGCGACGTCGTGCCAGGGTGGCGGGCGAAGAGGAGCGGCGCACGGCAGCGCAACCGGGGCCACGCCAAAATTAAGCGGGCGAGAGGCCTCGGCAGAGAGACAGCGGCGGGCGACTGAAGCCGGAAAAACGCATGACCAGCGGGCCGGGAGGGAACGGGCGGGGCGGGGCGGAGAGGGGGGGGGGCTCAACGGGGCCAGACCCGATCGGAAGACTGCGAACGGCGGCCACGGGGCCAGAAAACCGCGGCGGGCCCAAAAGAAAGCGGCCGGCGGGCAGGGGGGGCGCGGACGCCGACTGCGCGGACACCGCCCGACGAGAGCAGCGGGCCGCGGGGGCCCAGAGCGACCCCAAGAAGGAGCCAACCCGGACAGCGATCGACGCCGAGAACCAAGCGGACCGGACTTGACTCGCGCGCAGAGACCTGGCCACGCGAGGCGAAGGCCGCGGGGGGGGTCTGGGGGGCTGAAAGCGACAGCCCGACGCAACGCCGCCAGGGAGCACGGCATGACTGGCGCGGGACTAGAAGGCAAGCGCGTCATGAGCCGCCAGTACGGCGACGCAGGATCGACACCGAGGGGCCCTGGCGGGCCGCGCGCCGACCGCGTCAGTCAGGGCGGCGCAAGAGCGGCGGCGGCGCCGCGCAGTCTCGGCGCCTGGCAAGTCGGGGGCGAGGATGGGAGCGAGCACGGCCAGAAGCGCAGGCGGAGTAAGCGCCGCGGGATCGACGCCGAGGGGTCCCCGGCGGATCGCCCAGGGACTGCGCCACTTCGGAGATCTAGCGACCAGGGGAAATCAAATTCCGGGTCGGCCAGCCCGTGCAAGATCCTGCAAATACCTGCAAAATCCTGCAAGGCCGGGTGCTCTGACCGACCCGCGCTTGCACTGACCCCCGCCTCGAGGCCCCTGGCCAGCGCGGCAGCGAAGGGCCGCGGCCGCGCCGCAAGACCATGGCGAAACCAAACGAAACGCGAAGCAGCAGCGGAGGGCGACGGCCCTGCCGGGGCGAGGGGGCAGGCAAGGAGAGGGCGGAAACGAGCAGGGAGCCCGAGGGGCACGAGGATGGCGCCCATGCACCGCGCCATGTCTGGACTGCGTTCAGGCCCCGCTCGAGCGCGGCGCGGTGCGTGGTTCGATCGTCTCTGGAAGTTGTAAAACTGCGCGCCGCGCCGCTCCTGGGTCGAGGATCGACGACGCCTTGAAAGGCGCCAGCACGGCGCGGAGCGCGCGCGTCGCCCGAGCGCGGGGTCGCCGCGGAGCGACGCCGCGCGCCCAAGGCGGCAGATCCACGCCCGAGGCATCAGGGGCGAGGCGCCAGGCGCCCCCCAGAAAGGTGGGGGGGGGCGGCAGCAGGGCCCGCGCCAAGGGGGGCGCGGCGGGCCGCGGGCGGGGCGGCCAGCCAACGGACACATGCGGAGATGGGCTCGAGGCCCCGCGCGAAGAGCGGGCAGATCTGCCCCGCTCTGGAGCGTTAGGAACCCGCGCGTTTAGAAGTTTGCCCTGGTCTGGGGCGCTGAGGGCCCATGCGTTTTCGCGCCTGCTTCGCTCTGGGCATTAGAAGCCCATGCGTCAATTTGTTTCCGCGCCCGCCCAGCGCCGAGGCGTCGAGCAGCCGCGCGATTCGCGCGCGCCCCCCGCCCTGGGGCGCTGAGGGCATGCGCGTTCTCGCGCTGGTCGCGCCACGGGGCGCCAGGAACCCGCGCGCGTTCGCGCGCCTCCCGCCCTGGAGCGCCAGGGCCATATGTTTTCGCGCATGTCCCGACCCAGTGCGTGAGAAATCCGCCCGGTTTCAGGCCTGCCCCGCCCGGGGCGGCAGGGGCCCGCGCGTTTTCAAATTCCCCCCGCCCCGGGGCGTCACAATCAGCCAGGATGATAAATATGCGCGGTAAGGGCGCAAAAGCCTTGGAACGCCATGTCGAGGTTTTCCGAATGGAGCGCGGCCGGATTCCGAAGGGCGCAAGGGTGCCACGACGCGCCGCCGCCCCTGGGGCCGCGGCTGAGGACGTCCGAACTAAGAGCATTCAGTCATCCAATCATTCATCGATTGACCCTCGCGCGGACTCACTATGGACATGAGGGCGCGAGAGGGGGGGCAGACAGGGAGAGGCGAGGCTGGGCGTTGAGAGAAAGGCCCCCTGAGAGGGGTTGAGGAAGGTGACGCGATGATGAAAGGCGCCCCCAATCGGCCCCGCGACCCTTAAAGGCGCGGGCGGCGCATCGCGACCCACTGTTCCAGTAAATAATTGTGCCAAATGTACATGGGGATGCACATGTAAGCGTTGTCAGTTGCATTGTTTTTTCACGGCCTGGCATTGTGGCGGTTGCGGAGGGTGGAGGGTGGAGGTCGCAATTTCATCCCGACGCCCATGGGGCGCCGCGACTGGCCGCCCTCCACCCAGAGCATCGCCGCCGCACGCGGACCTCCCCCCCCGCGCCGCCGCTGCCTGTCCGTGCGCGCTGGCACGAGCCAGGTGGGCGGCGCGGCGCCCATCGCGCGATTCCCGCCGCGAAGTGCCACGCGTCGCGCGGGCGCTCCCAGGGCTGGGGGAACTCGAGGTGCGCGGGCGCCCGCCGCGGCCAGGGCGCCGGGGGGCATGGCGGCGGCGGGGGCGGGGTGGCCTCCGCCCGCCGGCCGCCGCGGCTCGGCAAGTCCAGGCCGAGGACCGGGCCTCGTCTGGGGCCCGAGAGGCCCCGGGAACCGGGCCCGCCATCTGGCCCCTCCAGAGGGCCCCCCAAACGGCATGGCGCGACGGCGGCACGGGCGGCGCCGCCATGGGGGAGGCCGCCCGCGGCCGCCGCGCTATGGGGACGGTGATGAGGACGAGGCTGGTGACAATGGCGACAGTTGCGGCGGCCACGGCGGCGACGGCGGCGAGGGAGGGGAAGAAAGGGGAAGAAGGACAAAGGAGACTTAGGCTGAGAAGACGGCGGATAAGGAAAGAGCGGGGTGATGAGGATGGGAAGGGTGACAAGTTGAAGGGCCACTCAGGCCCCCGTGCGCGCCCGGTTCGCCTGTCTCCTCCTCCTCCTCCTGCTTTGCCGTATCCTCCTCTTTCTCGTCAACCTTCCCTATTCGTGTGATGCCTCTTCGGCTTATTTTCCCCTTCTGCTTGTCTGATTCTCGACCCCCTCCTCCTGCGTGCCCCCTATGATATCCCCCCCCCCCCCACCCCTTCCCTCCGACCCCCCCCCCTCCCCCTTCTCTTCGTTAGCACAGTGGCCGCTGGCATTGGCTGATGGTTGGTGCGTGGCGCAGCGGCGCGGAGGAGCAGGGCGACGACGACGACGACGACGACGAACGCGACGACGACAAATCAGGCAGGCAACCATGCAGCATCAGGGCGACAATGGCGACGACGACGTCGGGGGCGACAGCGACGGGCAGACAGCGCCGGGGCCGCGACGAAGACGAAGACGACGACGACGAGGAAGACAGGGCAGACAGGGGGGCCTGCCGCTCGCAGCTCGCAGCCACCGCAACGCGGCGTCTAGCTCAGCTCCTCGGCTGCCGCCAGCGGCGGCCTGCCGCCCCCTCTCCTCTCTCAGTTCACGGGCTTCCTGTCGCCAGGCGCGCGCTCGCCCCTTGGGGCGGGCGCGTCGTGGGAGGAGGCGCCGCTGGAGGACCCGCTGGAAGCTGGAGGGCCCTGGGGGGGGGGGGGAGGGAGGAAACGGAGAAGGAGGAGGAGGAGGAGGAGGAGGAGGAGGAAGAAGGGGGGGGAAGAGGAAGAAGAGGATGCGGAGAAGGATGGGGAGAGAGAGGAGGAAAAGGGAGGAAAGGAAGCCCGGCGCGCAGCGCCGCGTGCAGGGCGCGCCCCCCCCGGCAGCGCTCGGAGACCGCTGCGCCGCACTCCCTGGGAATTAGAAGGCGGGTGGGCGGGGGGGGGGGGGGGGGGCAATGCGGAAAGGGCAAGGGGGCGCCTCGACGCGGCAGCCGCCAGGACAGCGTGCTCGGACAAGGCGCGCGCCGCATCGTCCGCTGCTGCGCGCGCTCTCTGCTCGACCGAGCGCGCCTGCCGGGCCCCCGCCACCGCGTCGCCCTGGGAATCCCCCTCCTTCTCCTGCCCCCCCCCCCCTCCTTCTTCATTATCCACGTTGTGGTGGTCTTGGGGGAATGTGGCGCCGACTGTGTCCAGTTGCTTCGGCGTCCGCGAAGGCGGCGGGTGCGTCGCGGGGGCTTCGGCGCCCCGACCACTCGCCGACCTGCCCGTGTCTCTCATCGTGTCTCTCGACGTGGATATGAGTATACGCGGATGGAAGTACCTTCTGTCTAGTATATGGTTATCTTCTGTTTGGATGGAAGTGCCTCCTGTTTGGATTGAAGTGTCTCGGGTGCAACTATTCTAACCTATGGCGATCTGCTGCTTGGAGGGAAGTACCTTCTGTTCGGATGAAAGTATATCGCGCGCAACTTTGCCACATAGGTCGGCGAGTGTCACGTCCGCCGCCTCCGCCCTCGCAGAAGCCGAAGCAACTCGAGATATTCGCCGCCGCAAGTACCCAGGAGATCAACTCACCGCGCAA